TGGAGCTTGCAGTGAGCTGAGATCCGGCCACTGCACTCCAGCCCAGGCGACAGAGCGAGACTCCGTCTCAAAAAAAAAAAAAAAAACACAAAAATTAGCTGGGCGTGGTGGCACACGCCCGTAATCCCAACTACTCAGGAGAGGCTGAGGCAGAACTGCTTGAACCTGGGAGGCAGAGGTTGCAGTGAGCTGAGGTCACACCATTGCATTCCAGCTCTGGGCGACAGAGCAAGACTGTCTCAGGGGGCGGTGGGGAAAGGATCTCCCTCTGTCACCCAGGCTGGAGTGCAGTGGTATGTCTGCTCACTGCAACCTCTGCCTCCCAAGCTCAAAAGATCTTCCCACCTTGGTCCTCCCTGCACAGTAGTTGGGACTACAGGCGTGCATCACCACGCCTGGCTAATTTTTATATTTTTTGGCGAGATGAGATTTCACCATGTTGGCCAGGCTGGTCCTGAACTCCAGATCTGCCCACCTTGGCCTCCCAAAGTGCTCGGATTACAGGCATGAGCCACCACACCCAGCCATAATTTAAAAAAATGGCTTCCTGAGGTTTTACAAGAAAATATGCACCTCTCAATACACACACAGTTATGGGAATAGAGTACAAGTGAAGTCAAAGATAAAATGTACTGAGAGGTGGGAGTAGGAGAGACAAGGCCCTGGCTGAGGGGGTGTCAGTGGGCCTCCCAACACCTCAAGCCAATCCATTTGGAGGTCTCCCAAAGTTCATCAGGAGAACCACGTACAGCCAAAAACAGAAAAGGATTCAAGAAAGCCGCATAGGTATCATGCCCTGACCTGCGATGAGGCTGCTCACTTCCCATGACTTCTGCTTGAAACCATTCAACCCTGGTTAGCTCAAGCTGAAGAAATATTTACTAGAAGCCTCAGATATGGGTGCCTAGAAGGAAAAAAATCCAAGTTCTCTGTGGTGGTGCAACCTGTGGGAACTATTGCCCCATGCTCAAAAAGGCCAAACACTAGGCTCCTGTACAGTACCTACAAGGCAGACACTCTGGGAGCCAGATTTTTTCTCTTTTGGAGGGAGACCCCAAGTGCTCTCCTCTGGGTGCCCGAGTGTTGGAATGGGCGGATGTCAAGACTTCATTCTAGCTCTTGGTCAGCAGCAGCACTACGGGGTCACTGAGGAGCATCAGAGATTTCACCACTGCTCAACTGCCAGGAGGCTAGTGGGGGCTGACTGAGGAGACACTGAAACACCAAAGCTGCCGCCACCACCGGCTGATGCAAGTTTTATTGAGACAATATACAAACAGGCCATGGAAACAAGGGTTTTGATGCTGGGACCAGTAACGTAAAACGGAATACAAAAATAAAAAGGCACTAATCTGTTAAGAAAAGACACTCGATGTGTTCTAAGAATATAAGTCATTTAATACTGTTAATTTTATAGCACAAAATAAAACAAGCTATGATCCCCAAAAATAATTTTAAAAGCTTACACAGAAAATATTATTGCCTCAAGTTTATGATCTTTAAATTACAGGTCAAAAGAGTTTTACGTTGTTGTTGTTGTTTTTGTTTTAAAACACACAGTGAAGACCGTCTAAGAAGCAAGGCCACTGTTCCTCCTGTAGGGACAACGATCCTGTCTCAGAGACCTGTCTTTCTACTCCTTTAGAAAATAGAACCAGCACAGTGTCCACACCGACAGCAGTTTCCAGGGGCATAGTTCTCCGGTCCCAGAGGGTGGAGTTGAGGCAGAGCTCAGTGGTGTCCACAGAAAGCATTAGTCTTAGGTACTGTGTTAAAACAATCAAGAATTCTTTCACGTTTAAGAGGTTAATAACCATAATATTAAAGGATTAAATTATAAACACCTGGCACAAAACCACATCATCCCTTTTCAAAAATAAAATGTTCATATTCCTCTGAGCAAACATCACAAGAGCAGTGGCCATCCTCCTCAGGCCTGCCTTGTCTGTAAACAGCTGTAAAGGAAAGCTAGCACAGTGCCAGGGACACGTGAGCTCCCAGGAGGGCACAGCTGTCCTTCCCTTTCAGCTTTCCAAACATGAGCACAGAAGGTGTCTAGTCTGGGTGACCAAAGTCCTCAAACGGCAGCCGGTCAACACATCATCTTCCTCGTTAACCATGTCGTCAGGTGGTGCCACACAGCACAGACATGGCTGACTCCTGTACCGCAGGTCCTTCCCAGGATACACAAGTTTATAACCAAACAGTCAATGCCCTCTAGTATGTAATTTGTTTCCTTCCCAGGTGAAAAACCATAGTGAGTTAATTTAACATCCAAATATTTCTTAAAACATGGTAGAGCAGAGCAAGTAGCAGTTACGAACACTCACCCTCTAGGTCAGATTTGCACTGCTCTATGGAGCACAACTGTCTTCCCAGACCAGTGGGGAACCCAGGCACGAAGCTGAGCTGAGGCAGGGGTGCTGCTTTCATATGTTTAGTGTGAAAAAGAGAATATCCCTGCCTGATTTAAAAAACTGACAAGGTTGTAAGTCAAAAAGTTTTACTTTTGGCACATATCAGGAGTGCAGAGCTCAAGCTCGCCTTGTTTTGAGCTCTGAATCTCCTGACAGCCCTGGATGCCATTTTGATGGGCTGAAGTAATGAGCTGATTAATTATAAAACCAAACCACAGGTATACTCTAGGTATATCTGATTCTGAAGTGCGCCACACAAGGTGAGTCGGGGTATTGGTCAGTAGACAGGGCTGAAAGGAAACCTTGCTTTCCAAAATGGCCACAGACTTCTTGCGCTCTAAGTCAACTGCTGTAATTCAAAGGTGTCAAGTCCTTCAGCTAAATCTGGTTGAAAAAGGCTTAAGGGTCTGTGCCCTCCTTGAACAAGGCACATTCATCCCTCTGCTGGAAACTCCACTCAGGGTTCAACTTGGGCAGGGATGAACCAGGTCACTGGCTAAAGGGCAAACACTATTTCTAGGCAGAGTTTGGGGACTCTGTGATATATCTGCCACTTGTGGGTGCTACGCCAGGCCTGAGCCCAAAATAAGCCAACCTGACACACCTAACCAGAAGCGGCAACTGCCGCAGACCATGCAGAGCAGGAGGCGGCCACCGTTCTCACTGGCAAGGAAGGGCTAATCTCTAAGAATTTTAGAGGAGAACCACAGATGGGAAGCCATGGTGATAGTTTTCCCAACTGACCATTAATTCTGTCACAGGGAACACTCTCAAGATTCATGAATATGGCAGTTATCTGCCTAATGGAATACTGATTTAAAGAAAAATTGAAAAATGGTTGTTTTGCTGGTTCGGTCTCCAGAAGGCATTGTTCTAAATCTCAAAACCTAGGAACCTCCAGACAGGGCCACAGTCACAGCAGATACTCAGTAAATGACAGTTACTCATTAGGCTGTTGCTACATTTCTAGGTCTGCTGTGTTCACTATAAGCTGAGGCTTGTCTTTACCAGGGCCCAGAAGGGAGAACAGACTGAATTACACAGGGTTCCCAGAATTCTAGTCTGCCATGAGCAGCAGATGACGGATGAACCACACGTATATACCAGCTGGCTTGTATGAACAGGCCTCTTTTAGCTAACAGGGAAATGCTTTAACATCAATACACTGATAAGTGGTTAATGATAAACTGGTTAATGGTCTCCCTAGTCACTAAAACACTAAGACATCAAATACATTAACCAATTTCCAGAGCCTGCATTTCCACTGCTTGGGAGCATCACTTACTTACTTAGACTGTGAGACCAGTATCAGCAGCACCAACTTTCTCTGGCAGCCTGGTGAGACTGGGCCTGGGTACGGAGGTCTGGGCTTCAGTGAGTGGAATTTAACGATTCATTAATGAGTCCAATGATTCTATGAACAACTCCACTTTTTAGGGGAATTTAAGTCTTAACCTTAAAGGGGTACATTCACTGAAAAGCTGAACAGAAAACTGGCCAACTGGGCCGGGCGCGGTGGCTCACGCCTGTAATCCCTGCACTTTGGGAGGCCGAGGCGGGCGGATCACGAGGTCGGGAGATCGAGACCATCCTGGCTAACACGGTGAAACCCCGTCTCTACTAAAATACAAAAAAATTAGCCGGGCGCGGTGGCGGGCGCCTGTAGTCCCAGCTACTCAGGAGGCTGAGGCAGGAGAATGGCGCGAACCCGGGAGGCGGAGCTTGCAGTGAGCCGAGATGGTGCCACTGCACTCCAGCCTGGGCGATAGAGTGAAGACTCCGCCTCAAAAAAAAAAAAAAAAGAAAACTGGGCAACTGCCCTCCAACCCACTGCTCTTATCACTGGCAAACAAGGTAAGCAAAGGTTTCCCTAAAGTACCCCCCAACTCTGATGCTTTTTAAAACAAAGTAATCCAAGGGGCTGTGCACATAGCATGGCACACCACAGATGCATTATTTTGTGTGTTTTCTGCTACATGGCAAAACAAACTACTACTGGCAACCAAGACAATAAAGGCCTCTGCTTCAGGGTTGTTCTTTTCAGATTCCTTTAGTTACAGCAGCTTCAGTTTAGAAGCTCAGAGGCATGTGTCATTCCTTGCACTATCATAAAAACCCAACCTGCTACTTAACCTGTTTAGAACACACAAGTCTAGGCCAGGCGCAGCGGCTCATGGCTATAATACCAGCACGTTGGGGGGCTGAGGCGGGTGGATCATCTGAAGTCAGGAGTTCGACACCAGCCTGGCCAACATGATGAAACCCCGTCTCTACTAAAAATACAAAAATTAGTTGGGCGTGGTGTGCGCGCCTGTAATCCCAGCTACTCGGGAGGCTGAGGCAGGAGAATTGCTTGAACCCGGGAGGCGGAAACTGCAGGGAGGCAAGATTGCGCCACTGCACCCCAGCCTGGGTGATGGAGCGAGACTCCGTCTCAAAAAAACAAAAAACAAAACAAAACAAAACAAAAAAACCCCACACAAGTCTAATTAGTTAGTTTTCCAAAACCAAACCAAACCAAAAGAAAAAAAAAAGCCGGATTTTGGAGTTTTAGGACAGAATTCTCTCTTCCTTAAGGTTCAGTTCCTGTTGTCCAAAGAAAAGTAAGATGGCAGCTGAGCCACTGCTTTGTGGAACAGCAAACATGCAGTATCTCGCCATGGCCTCAGGCTTTCTCTGATGAACACGACAGAATCAGTCCCATGTACAAACAGGCAGCGATGAGAAGAAAGACCCTTTCCTCGTCAACTTCTCTCCACTTGTGTGCTTCCATCAGTATTTCCAGTTTATGATCCAAAAGAACTCTAAAATCGGCTACTCTTTGACAATACGACTATGATACAAACGTCAGGAGGCAGTCGCTGTGTGCATTCCAAATGTGTGTGCGACTGCCAGTCTGCAGAAAGCTGGACTTCGGCAATGCAGTGTGACTTGCCTATGAGAGAGAATGCTTTCCCACTTCAAAGGAGACTAGGACAGGCAGAACAACAAAGCAGCAGGAAATGGGGCAACGGCAATCACTCGTTTTCATCTGGGTTTTGAGGGTCAAAGATTTTGACATGCGTAAAGGGAAAAAGCCCTTTGCGCCCATTCACCTCGCCTTCCCACTGGCCATTTATATTCATTCTTGTGACTTTCACAATGTCACCAACCTGTACGGATGAAGAAGACAAAGTTAGCATTTCTCTGCAACAAGAAAAAGACAGTTTACATTAAATCACAAACACTACCTTATCCAAAGGGCCCATACATTATTATTTAGACACAGAGTCTCACTCTGTTAGCCATGCTGGAGTGCAGTGGTGAGATCACTACTCAATGTAACCTCTAACACCTGGGCTCAAGTGATCCTTCCACCACCACCTCTTGAATAGCTGTGACTACAGGCGTGCACATTAATTTTTTATTTTTTATAGACAGGGTCTGTCACCCAGGCTGGAATGCGGTGGCATGATCACAGCTCATTGTACCTTGAACTCCTGGGATTACCTGAGGTCACGAGTTTGAGACCAGCCTGGGCAACATGGTGAAACCTCATCTCTTCTAAAAAATAGAAAAATTAGCCGGGTGTAGTGGCACATGACTCTAGTCCCAGCTACTCAGGAGGCTGAAGTGAGAGGATGGCTTGAGCCCATGAGGCTGAGGCTGCAGTGAGCCGTGATCGTTCTATGGCACTCCAGACTGGGCAACTGAGTGAGACCCTGTCTCAAAAAAACAAAAACACGCACACGCACAAACAGCTTTTGAGCACAAAGCAGCTCCTCCCCAAACCAACCCTCTATTTTGGCTACTAACCCCAACAGGATAGAAATGAACACATGATTCTGAGAATGGTTAAAGTCAAATCACACAAAAAGGTGTATTTTAAAAAAAGACCTTCAGGAGGTAGCCATTGTAGACATTGTGCTCTCTGTTCAGCAGAGCACTAATCTAAGATTCTATTTTGTGTACTCAGGTCCATAAAAACACTGCTTGAATATAAGACACACCTAAGATCTAAGACAATAAGAAATAAGCTTTCGTCTGCTTAAACACATACAGAACCAGGCATAGTGGTACGTGCCTGTAGTTCCAGGTACTTGGCAGGCTGAGGTGAGAGGATTGCTTGAGCCCAGGAGTTTGAGACCAGCCTGTGCAACACAGCAAGACTACATCTCAAAATAAAAACAGGCACAAGGTAGCACAGTCCAGTGGTCCATGCCATGAACTTTGGAACATGCAGGACACCAAACAAATGTCCTGGTTCTGCCACTTTTAGAAACTACATGACTGTAGCAAACTGCTTAAGTTCTCCAAGTCTCAGTTTCCTTCCAACTTTGAAAGGGTCTTACAGTAATCAAATGATTGTTACTTGAGTAGAGATTCCTGAGTAGAACCCAGCCCCACGCCCCCTCTAATGATCATACCCTTTGGATGCACGAAGGGAAGAGCTGGAATTAGCACTGAGAAGCACAGCACTGTATGTATCAGAGGATTTCCAACCTTGTGACCAACAAGGGTCCTCTCAAAACCAACGAGGAACAGGCTGAAAACGGGGTCTAATAAATTACTGTGATGGATACTAAGCAGCCAAGGAAGACAACGGGAAGATGGAGATGAGGAGGCTAGGGACTGAAAGCTACCAAGAACACTCACACCTCATACCTTCCAATTAATTTGTGAGTCTGGCGGTCTTTAACAGGATACTTTCTACATGATCCTACCTAAACAATTAAATAAAATTTACTGAACATCTATTCCATGGAAAATGGGCAGGTCAGTTCGTATCCTCAAAAAACTTGTCTTTTAAGTGGGATACACGATGAATCTTTGTTAGATAATAACATAGTGTAAAAAACACGAAGTGGCTGGGCGCAGTGGCTTACACCTGTAATCCCAGCACTTTGGGAGGCTGAGGCGGGTGGATCACTTAAGCCCAGGAGTTCAAGACCAGCCTGGGCAACACAGTGAAACCCTGTCTCTAAAATACAAAAATGAGCCAGGCATGGCGGCATGCACCTGCAGTCCCAGCTACTTGGGAGGATGACGTGGGAAGATCGCTTAAGCGCAGGAGGCAGAGGTTGCAGGGTTGCAGTAAGCTGTGATGCCACTGCACTCTAGCCTGGGTGACAGAGCGAGACCTTGTCTCAAGAAAAGAAAAAGAAAAAGGCTGGGCGCAATGGCTCACATCTGTAATCCCAACACTTTGGGAGGCTGAGGCAGGTGGATCACCTGAGGTCAGAAGTTCGAGACCAGCATGGCCAATATGGCAAAACCACATCTCTACTAAAAAATACAAAAATCAGCCAGGTGTGGTGGTAGATGTCTGTAATCCCAACTACTCAGAAGGCTGAGGCAGGAGAATCACTTGAACCTGGGAGGTGGAGGTTGCAGTGAACCAAGATCATGTCACTGCACTTGGTGTAGCCAGGCGCAGTGGCTCACGCCTATAATCCCAGCACTTTGGGAAGCCAAGGTAGGAGGATCACTTGAGGCCACATGTTCAAGACCAGCCTGGGCGACATAGTGAGACCTAGCTTCTATTAAAAAGAAAAAAGAGAGAGAGAGAAGACACATAAAAGCAGCAAGTGGCAGAAAAACACTACTAAATCAATGCTGCAGAGCACAGGATCAAGGAGCTACTGCTTAGACAGAGGGAACCTTGACCAGCAGAAGTAGGTCAAAGAGCAGCCTAGGAAGAGAATGGCTGAGAGACTTCTGGTGGCCCCTCGACCACTAGTGCCTCATTGTGGCCTTGTAGGAGTTTCCACATGCTAAAACACCATCATCATTCCTCATGCTGTTTTCTATCTTAACACAGAAAAGACATCCTGGCTGTTACGCAGCCTGCTGCCCAGTTACAGGCCTGGCTATGGACCAGTTTCTTCCATGGCTCTACCGAACAGTGCTTGTGCTGAGATCCTAAAATGGTTGGTAGCTTGGCAGTCACCTTGCTGTTTCCCTCATCACTCCCTATTCTTCCTCTGGGTTCATGGTACACGGATCCAGTTCAAAGAAGCACTCACTCTGGAGGGCAGATCAATTTGTTGTTGTTGTTGTTTTTTTTTTTTTTGGTGCTCTACACCTTCAGAGAAACTTCTCTAGTAATGAACTATAGAAATGATCCCTGAAAGTGCAGTCAGAGGGCAGATCAATCTTGATGTAGGTAGATACCAACTTGGTTCAAGGGGCAAACTACACCTGGAAGATGTGGCTGACCTTATCAACAGATTAAGAGGAAGCACATACCTAATGCATCATCTTTATTAATTTTCACCCTATGGAACAGGACAATCCTAATCATTATTAGTACTGTCAAAATACTATCTTTGGGGCTGGCCGCACTTAGCACCTTCGGGAGTGGACACATTAACTCTAAAACACATATGCCAGGGACACTAGTCAACCCTTTTATGTCTACCAAGAGTTAAATAGCAAGAGGGTACCTCTTGCTGCTGGCAATAGTTTCCTACAGCCCTACTTGTCCAGAGTGTTGTCCAGGAAAAGACTCTACTGACTGGCATGTAGCACTTGATTCAAAGAGCAGTCAAGGCACTGGAGGGCCCAAGCACTGGTCGTCACAGCAGTTTTTTGGTTCCATAATCAGTCTCCACTCCCTGTACTGATATTCTGAGATTTCATGCTTTCAGGTTACATAAAAGTAAGATCAGGAGTACACTGGTGACACTGGAATCATAAATTCTAACTTGGGTGACGTGAATGGGTCTCCGTGACCAAAGAACATCCTGCCAAGTTGTATGCAAATGCATGAATGTATGTTGTTTTTCTGAAGACTGTACAACTTTCACTGGATTCTCAAAGGCGCTTATAGCCCCCAAAATAGCTAAAACAAAACAAAGTCCATGTACTATAATCACCAGACAGGTATCATCCTGCTCTCTGTGGCTTTTATTCCTCTAGTCATTCAACAAATATTGAAGATCTATGTGTAGGCTGTGGAGAGATACGAGAGGGGACACAAAGGAGACAAACACCCCTGGCCCTCACGGAGCTGCATGGGTCCACTGCCTGCCCCTATGTTCTCTGTGCACCTGCACCTGAATCAGAGTAGCCAGAGAGATAGAGGCTTTAGAGGGCTAGGCTCCCTGTCTGTGTGCCCTGGGTAGCAGTCAAGTAATCTCATGTGCTCAAGCCCACAACTGAATGCTATCTAATAGGGTTTTAATACTGAAGACTCCGTCTCTTCCTTAAAATTACCACTATCCTTCAGAGTAGTAACTTGATTCAAGAGGGCTGTTTACTGGTTAACAGAGATTTTATTTGGGAAGGGTAGATGGCATGGCTAAAGATACCACAGGCCAGTATGCCGTGGTACAAGAGTATATGGGCTTTGAAAAGGAAGAAGTCAAGACACGATCATATATACAAAAAAATTCACAGATTCCACAAGAAAAGATACAAATTCAGCAAAGTTGCAGGGTACAAGATCAACACATAGATATCAGTTGTGTCTTATATATTGGTAATGAATAATTAAGAAAAGAATTCCAGGCGGGGCACAGTGGCTCATGCCTGAATCCTAGCACTTTGGGAGGCCAAGGAGGGCAGATTGCCAGAGCTCAGGTGTTCGAGACCATCCTGGGCAACATGGTAAAACCCCAATTCTACTAAAATACCAAAAAAAAAAAAGTTATCTGGGAGTGGTGGCAGGCACCTGTAGTCCCAGCTACTCAGGAGGCTGAGGCACAAGAATCGTGCCACTGCACTCCAGCCTGGGCAACGGTGCGAGACTGTGTCTCAAAAAAAAAAAAAAAAAAGGTGATTCCATTTACAATAGCATCTAAAACAAAAATATCCAAGAGGCTGGGCGCGGTGGCTCAGGCCTGTAATCCCAGCACTTTGGGAGGCCGAGGCGGGCGGATCACGAGGTCAGGAGATCAGACCATCCTGGCTAACACGGTGAAACCCCGTCTCTACTAAAAATACAAAAAACTAGCCGGGCGTGGTGGCGGTGCCTGTGGTCCCAGCTACTCCGGAGGCTGAGGCAGGAGAATGGCGTGAACCCGGGAGGCGGAGCTTGCAGTGAGCCGAGATCCGGCCACTGCACTCCAGCCTGGGTGACAAAGCAAGACTCCATCTAAACAAAACAAAACAAACCGAGAATCATTTAACCATGGTGAAAGATCTGCATACCAAAAATTATTAAAGACCT